GCCTGTTCTGCTCCCCACTCTGTCCCTGGTGAATCCTCTCACCCCCTGTACCTCTGGCCTGAACCCCAGTTCTGTATGCATAAATAAATCTTTAAAAAAAAAAAAAAAGAATTTGCCATCTTCCCTAAATCAGAAGACCCAAGTCAGGTAGATCCTCCCATTGGTAACCCACTCCAGCTTGGTCCTGCCCAGTGGCTCTCCAAGCTGGCATCTCCCCAGTGGTCCCGAGGGACGCAGTTCTGGAAGGCAGTAAAACTCAGCCTCCCGGACAATTCCCTTTCCTCCCCACCCAGAGAGGGAGACAGCAGGCTGCTCAGGCATTGGGGTGACACTGCCCATCACCGTCACTGAGTCTCTGGAGGGAACCAGAGCCAGGGGAGCCAAGAAAAGGCGGGTCCAGGGCTTGTATCTGTCAAACAAATGGATAAATTGTTGGAGATCTAAGACCTCACCGTGCCTGGACTGCTCTAGAGGCTGTGTGGCTGCTGTCTGCACGCTGCAGGCTCTGGGCTTGGCTGAGGGACACGTGCTCAGGAAGGCGCAGAGGTGCTCCGTGTGTGGTGGAGGGGGGACCTTGGGGTGGAGGTCTGCATTCCAGTCAGGAGCTGTGTTGAGGGTGAGGGTGGGGTGGGGGAGTCAGAGTTCACAGGTCAGCACTGTCATTCACAGGGCCTGGGGGACAGAGCCTCTCAAGTGTCAAGGAGACCTAGGAGGATGACCGTGAACCTCGTACACTGGAATACATGACAGCAACCAGAGTGGCCATCAGTGAGCATCGTAGACTATTGAGAGCCAGAAGGACCTTTCGATATCATCCCATTCTCACTTCTGATGCGGAGAAAGGGGCCCGGCTGGCCAAATGACTTATCTAGACTTGTTCAGGAAATCCCCACAAGGCTCAGACTAGAACCTATTCCGATGGTTCAGCATTCAGATGGCTGCCGCTGAAATCTCTAACAGCTCCATTAGCTGCTCCCAGACGCTGTGGTGGACACGGCAAAAAGAAGCTAGTCTGGCGACCCTGACCACTGGAGGCCAGTAGCTGGCTGAAAGCAGAAGTGTTCCAGGAATGGGTACGCAAGCACCAGGAGCCATGACGGTCAAGCAGACACACAGGAACAAGCCGCAAACAGGGGCCGGCAGGGGCAGATGCAGGATGGGCTGGACTGCGTGAGAGTTGACATAATTGACTCCAGGAGAGAGTCTGCTTTCCTTCCAGCAACATCTAAGTGGCCCTTTATGTTTACTAAGCATTGCATGGGCATGACCTCATGAAGCCTTCAGGGGACCTTGGGAGTAATCACCCCCATTTTGCAGATGGAGAAAGAGTGCCTCGGTGTTTACAGTTAAAATTAGTTGTTTCAAAACCAGGGTCAGAACCGGGAGCCTCTCTGTCTCACAAGCCAGCGTCTTCTCGTCCTGCCTATTGAATGAGAAATACAGTTTCTCCTTTGGGCACGTTTTGGCACCTGGGTGGAGGAGCCGCAAGGGCAGAGGTCCCCGCTGAGGATCTGAGCCTTTGGGTCTGCGCAGCCTGCGCATGTGTTATGTTTATGGGCCCTTCTGAGGTTTATCCTTCTGCCATCAAGGTCTCTCCTGTTTCCATGGCTGGCTGGCTGGCTACCAGAAACAGGTCAGACAAGTGCAAGTTCATGCAGGGGGATGTTCCAAGGAAACAAGGTTCTGGGACCAGTGAAGTGGAGTGAGGGGGTGGGAAAGAGAAAGGGAAAAGGAGCCATGCTCTCAGACCTATACCCCACATTTCTGGATGAGCCTGCTCACTGCTAATCCTAATACAGGTGCATCTTGGCTCTTGTCCCAAGCCCAAGAGCTGCTGGCTAGTGGCTGGGGGACTCGGATGCCTGGGTGACAAATGAGTCACGTTGGGGGCTGGAGGGAGGGACAGGCCTTGCCTTGCTTTTGACTCTGATCGATTGGGTCATGTCTCTTGGGGTTGCTTTTATGACTAACATCCATCTACTTCCAGACAAAATTGAAAGGAATTAATAAAAATGCTTTTGGCCCCATCCACGGGAGTTATACCACCTCCCAGATGAACCTTGATTCTCACAGGCTGCGTTCCATCAACTCCAAAATCCTCTGACTCTTGGAAGACACAGCAAAGGTGAGACAACTTCCCCAAGGTCGCAGAACTGTCACTGTGGTCTTCAGCACACCTTCTCCTGGCATTTGCTGGAAAGTGATAAAGACTCTCTTCGACCAAAATTTTGATCAAGCTCTGTGTGGAGCCCTCCTTTTGACTAGACCTTGTCCTCGGGAGCTGTCCTTAGCTTGCCTAGCCCCAGTTTTAGGAAGAACCCTGTTAAGTCTGTTTAGCAAGAATTCCTCTCCCTGCCCCCCTCCTTGATAGCCTATCGTCCACCCTTAATGTCTTGTTTTGTTTTTTAAAGAGTTATTTATTTGTGCATACAGAACTGGGGTACAGGCCAGAGGAGCAGGGGCAGTGAAAGCCTTCACCAGGGACAGGGTGGGGAGCAGAACAGGCAGATGGACAAAGTACACTGCTGAGGGGAGCAGCGGGCGGGTCACGAAAGGTCTGCTGTGCCATGTAGGTCACCTCCGGGGCCGGGGATCGAACTTGCACTAAAGTGGCTATGGCTAGCTTGCAGTGCTGCGCCCTAACCCATTGCACCACCAGGGAGGACCCCACCCTTGATGCTTAAGCCCTGGGCCTGCCTTTAGCCAGACTACTGTTAGGTCACTTTAGTAAGAATGTCCCCACCCTTGATGTCTCAGTAATTTTCTACCTCTGACCCTTCACTCTGCTTGCTAGCTATAAGCCCTCAGCTGCCTGCTTTACTCCCAATGGAGCTCAGCTGTACCAGTCTTTTTCCAAAATCGCAATAGATAGAATGCAACGTCTTCACTGCCTTCAGTGGGGGCCTAGCACTATTTCTCCTGAAAAGAAGGCAAGAGGTGTCTCTGACAGTGGGACCAAAGACAAGTCCACGAGGGGAGGGGTGGGGGTTGGGGGGAGTCTGAGAAGTTAAGACCTGTCTGCCCCAGGTTACAGACAAGTCTGGATGGCTTTGAGATGCTTGGAAACAGTCATGGATGTTTGGTAATTTAAGGAGCAGGAAACTCCCTTTGTAGACTTCACAATGTAGAACAAAGACAAGCAAGGCTTTGGAGTCAGAAAGGTCTAATGTGTATCTCACATGTAAACAGCGACTGTTTGAACAGTCTGCGTGGTGAGGAGAAAAACACATTCCCTGTGTGCTGTGAGGACTGAGTCAGGTGGCCAGACTCTGCGTGGCAGCCTAGCAATTTCTGGGGGTTCTGGAGTCGGGGGTCGGAATTTTGTGAACCGCAAATGGCCAGTAGCTCTCTCGCTGTCTCCTCTCCGAGCTTTGCCAGACAGGGAAGTGGAGCCTGGGGCCAGCAGGGGCTAGGTCGGAGCAAAGCAAGAGCCAGCACTTCCTCTGATTCTCTCTTGAGTTCTGTCCCCTGCCCACTACCATCCGTGCCCCTCAGTGAGCAGTCACAGAAAGCCAGGCATTCCTCTCGTTTGCCTGCCTGTATCTCAGTATTAGCCCTGCCAGTGGACACCGGGCATGGCATAGCCGCTGGGGGGAAGCAGGAGCTGAAGAATGTGCTGATACAACCAGTGCCTCTTGTCACTGTCCTCTGCTAAGGAGCCTCCTCCTGCTCTTGACCAGACCACTCTTCTCCCAGCCTGCCAGCTGCCAGGGGAGTTTCTTCTCCAACAGGTGTCACATTTGTGCCCGGAGACAGACACCCTGATCTCAGGTGACAGATAAAGCATCACCAGGGGCTTCACATTCTGCCCTCCCAAATGGGCTATTAAATTCTCCACCAGCTGGAACTTTGCCAACATCCCTGCTCTGCGCCATGTGGACTTGTCAAAGGCTTGAAGGTGATCATCTGGGCTCTTTGGAAAAATAAGGTGAACATATATCTGTCAGTACCTTTTTTTACATACATTTTACATAATAAGCTCATCCATATACTATCTCACTGCATCCTCACAAACCTCTCAGAGCAATGCCAGCCATTTTTTTAAAAAAGATTTATTTATTTATGCATACAGAAGAGGCAACGTGAGATTCACCAGAGACAGAGTGGGGAGCAGAACAGGCAGATCAACAAAGTACACTGCTGAGGGGAGCAGCAGGTGGCCCAGGAGAGTTCTGCAGAGCCATGTGGGTCACCTCTGGGGCCAGGGATTGAACTAGTGGCTGTGGCTAGCTTGCAGTGCTGCGTCCTAACCCATTGCACCACCAGGGAGGGCCCAATG